ACTCAGTCTCCTTGAAGACCTGCAGCTGAGCTTCAGGGAACAGAAAAGAGGTACAGATGACTGACATGGTGATTGGCATGGCTTGATTTTTTTTTTTTTTTTGGTACTGGGGATTGAACACAGGAATGCTTTGCCACTGAGATACATCCCCACTCCTCTTTTTTCACTTTTTATTTCGAGACAAGTTCTCACTAAGTTGCTGAGTGCTTGCTAAATTGATCTCAATCTTGTGATCCTCCTGCCTCAGCCTCCTGAATCACTGAGATGACAGGCATGTACCACTGCACTCAGCTTGGATTGATTCTTGGTAAAGTGAATCTCACCACTTCTCCCAAGGGAGCCCAAAATCCCAAACCACAGTTCTGCTGGGAAAATAGGAATGAATTTTTGCTAATTAGCATTCTCAGACTTGATTCTCCTTTTCAAGGACTTCCCCCTTAATTCAATTAAACATGAGCCCACGTAATCAATTCAGCAATTCAATTCCCTGGTGAGAGCCACTTTGGGAGCAATGAGACTCAGACTTCGTTGTGAAGATTATTAGACTCGGACTCCAGGTCCTTCCTGATGCAGTAGATGGGGAAAAGAGGGAAGACTTACAAGGAAATTGCCTTTTAACCTACAAGTCGCAGATGTTTGCAAAGCACATGAGCCTACCTGTAGTTTGAGAAATGCTCCAATAGAAGCCTAAAGGTTTTAGGTTTTCTCTCTTTTCCTTCAAGTATTTTCCAAATGGAGGCTGTTGAAACCATTCTATGGAGAGTCCACAAAACCCAGGGAATTTTTTCTTAGTAGAGCCTTGCTTTCCCCCTCTAGAACTCAAGCTGGGACTTCACACAGGGTCCCTAAGAATAAACTATTCTTTTCAATATAGCAAACCTTCAATACTGGCCTATGTATTGGTTAGAATTGCATTCTCTGCTAGTGACAGAACCTCATGGCAGTGGTTTACACAAAGTCGTTGTTTATTCTACTGTGTGCAAAGAAGCAGTTGATCAAGATTGGTATGGGAGCTTCATCCATCCATCAGAGAACAAGTCTCCTTCCATCTTTTTTTCTCACGGTAATAAGTGAGTGCTGGGATTCAGCCATCATGTCTGTATTCCAGAAAAATGGGAAATGAGGCTGGGGATATGGCTCAAGCGGTAGCGCACTCGCATGGCATGCATGCGGCCCGGGTTCAATCCTCAACACCACATACAAACAAAGATGTTGTGTCCGCTGAAAACTGAAAAATAAATATTTTTAAAAAAATAAAAATGGGAAATGAGAAAATGGGGGAGGAGAACCCTGTTCCCAGCTCAATCATCTATTAAACGTTTTCCTGGATGCTGCACCAACAATTTCCCCTTATGTATCATGGTCATCCCAAGATGCAAGGGATGCTGGGTAAGTAGCTTGCTATCTAGCATACTGATGTCCCAAAGAATGTCAGAATTATGTAACAAAGGAAGAGCCAAGAGTAAGAGTTGAGTAAGATGACTGGCAGTCTCTGCCATGGCTTACTAAGCRCCAGGTGGAGCGGGACAGGGTGAGGAGGAAGGAGGCAGAGCTGTGTAACCCTTCGAAAGCCCATAAACAGTGTCACTCGGGAAACACCAAGTGTGCTCAGAGAGTCGCAGAACAAGTGCTGCAAGGTCTTCGGAGCAGAGGGCAATGGAGCTGCTCCTTGATGGTCAGGTGGAATTAAAATCCACAGATTATGAAGAGAGCCACTCTGGGCTGAGGACATATGTTTGGGGCACAATTGAGCTCAATCAGAAGAATCTGCACAGAAAAAGTTTTCAAGGTACAAAGACCTTGTTCTTTCCGATCTTTCCCCACAGAACCTACCCATCAATTTGGCTCCCCTTACAAACCGGCCAGCTACAACCCAAATCCCTCTTTGCCTAATTCCCAACCTCCACACCCTACTACTCTGCACTGACTTGATAATGCTGTTTCTTCCTCTCCCCTCCCTGATTCTCCTCTTTCCCCTAGGTATGAAAAGCTAGGGAGTGATTTCCCCATCACTGGAAGTATTAAACATAGGCTACATAATCACCTAAGCGGAAATTATAAAAGAGCTTTGTATTAGTCAGTGCCTCAGTTGCAAACAACAGAAGCCAAGCATTAGATGCCACCCCAACCCGAGGTTCTAGGATTCCTTTTGACATGAATGGCTTTAGTGTTCCTCCAGGAAATCCTCCTTGACCATGTCTATTCACCTTGGTCTCTTTTCTCTCTTTTAATGCTAACACCTTCTGCCTGGCATTTGCTTTTTAACCTGTTTTATAGTTTCTTTTTTTCCACTTATGTATAGATCTAATATCAAAAACATAGGTTATCACTAATTCAAGAACCAGAACTAGGTGCTGGGGTGGTGGCTCAGCAGTAGAGCACTCACCTAGCATGTAAGAGGCGCTGGGTTCGATCCTCAGCACCACAAAAAAATAAGTAAATAAAATAAAGGTATTGTGTCCATCTACAACCAAAAAATATATATTAAAAAAAAAAAACAGAACTAAGCCTTCTTCTCTTGTACGTACACTATACCTTGCCTGTGAGGTGACTAACCACCCCAATGTGCCTGGGCCATGGGACTTTCAGTGCTAAAAGTGGGAAAATCCTAGGAAAACGAGGATGAATTAGTCATGCTACTTGCCTCCAAAATGGGAAAATGCATCTGCTTGTTGATTGCTAAGTATGATAGAGGATACTCCACACTCCCAATACCTCTGATTCTCTTCTCCTTGTGGGCACACATTGGACTTCCCCATTTCCTTAAAGTTGGGCATGCCTGTGTGAGACTTGCTTTGACTTAATGTGTGTCACTTCTTTTTTTTTTTTTTTAAAGAGAGAGTGAGAGAGGAGAGAGAGAGAGAGAGAGAGAGAGAGAGAGAGAGAGAGAGAGAGAGAATTTTTAATATTTATTTCTTAGTTCTCGGCGGACACAACATCTTTGTTGGTATGTGGTGCTGAGGATCGAACCCGGGCCACACGCATGCCAGGCGAGCGCACTACCGCTTGAGCCACATCCCCAGCCCTGTGTGTCACTTCTGAGTGGAAGTATTTAAGATCCCATGCACTATTCTCCATAGGACTCTGGCAAACCCTGAAGCCATCATGTTGAGATGGTGCATCATGGGATGAGGTTGTACCTCTGAGAAGCAGAACCTTCTTTCAAGCTTTTTCTCAGATAGAAACTTCAAAACATCAGTTGGAAAGTGGAAAATCAAATGTGCTCTCCCAGGAGGCTCAGAGAGCTTGAGGCAARGCTCAGGAGTACAGAGCATCCAGAACCGAACTTGCCTCCCTAATTCCTACCCACTAGGCCAAGTTGTTGATTTTATTATTTATTTATTTAGCGGTATTGGGTTCTAAACCCAGAGACTCCACAGCACTTTTTATTTTATTTTATTTTATTTATTTTTTTAATTTTGAGACAGAGACTCATTAAATTGCAGAAGCTGGCCTAAAACATGAGACCCTCCTGTCTCAGCCTCCTGTATCATTGGGATTACAGGTGTGTGTCACAAGGTCCCTAATCTGCATTTTTATTTAACCACACTTCTTTTCTTGGACATTTAAATAGTTTGGGGTTGGGGCTGGGGATGTGGCTCAAGCGGTAGGGGGCTTGCCTGGTTCGATCCTCAGCACCACATACAAACAAAGATGTTGTGTCCGCTGAGAATTAAAAAATAAATATAAAAAAAATAGTTTGGGGTTGGTTGATTGGTTGGTTGGTTGGTTTGAAATCCTGAGCACTCTTTCAATAAAAGAGTAAACACTCTTTCCTCATTACCTGTTAAGCACATCCGGCAGCAAGGAGTTCTCAAACTTCAGCCTGGGTCAGAATCACACCCCCCCCAGGGGGGTGGGCAGGTCCAGGGTGGGCCTGAGAATTGGTGATGCCTCGGGAGGTGTGAAACAATGTGAACCACCACCCGTTTTGCCTGTTTTCTTCTTTTGCTTTCTTGTAATGGTTTGTTTGTGCCGGTTTGTTTTGTTTTGCTTGCTACCAGAGATGAAACCCAGGGAGTCTCAACCACTGAGCCCCACATCCCAAGCCTTTTTTATTTTTTATTTTGAGACAGGGTCTCACTAAGTTGCTCAGGGACTGACTAAGTTGCTGAGGCTGGCTTTGAACTTGCAATCCTCCTGCCTGAGCCTCCTGAGCTGCTGGCAGTTGATTTTATACTCTGTAGAGGGAGAAAGTCTTTTGAGGGGGCATATTCTTCTTCTATTCAGGACTCTTAAGTYCCTTTCATATGTCCATCTTTTCAAAAGTTGGGAGGCCTAATTTTCTAATATACACAGATATATATACACACAATGATTTACAAAACTGATATCTTTTTCCTGCATTGCCTCTCCCAGAAACCTTGACTAGTAATAAAGTGAGAAGAGATAAAATTTGTTTTGCTAGACACTGACGTTTTATGTCCATTATTGCATCACGTCTGACCTATGATGGGCAGAGTAGCATGTAACAATGCTTTGCAAGCTGGAAAAAGCTATCACGCAGCAGCAAGGAGGCATTACAGTTAAGCTCAGTATCATCATTTATATGTACGAAAGTGGTTCGAAGATCAGGTTCCGGGTTCTAGAGAAGGTTCTAACTGGGCTCTGCTGCTTAGCTTAATCACAATACGCAACTCACTTTTCATCTCTCACTTTGCATTTTCCTCACCTGTACAATTGAGGAAATAATATCCTTGTTGCAAGATATGTTTATGCCAAGGAATAAACATAAGATGTGTAAAAATCTTGGTCATAACTGCCCTTGATATATGGTTATCTGTTGTGTTTACCAAGTCATTGTTAAAATTGTTTATTCGGTAGTCCTAACTCAGCCGAGGGCCAGAAAAAAAAGTATCTATTTCCCCCGTACAGATCCGTTCTGCCCTAACCTGAGGTTCCTGTCATTTAGAGAGATTCTGGTCACCTGCCTCCTGCGCGGAGCAGAGGCCCAGCTCTTCGGGTATTTACGGCGCGCGGTCGCCCCAGCTCAAGCTCAAGTCTGCGCTTCCAGGTTCAGTTTCAGGGTTGAGCCGGCAGCCCTAGCCGGCGGGCGTGGAGCGGGCAGCCGTGCCCGGACCCCGGGGTCCTCTGGGGGCCCCGGAGTGGGGAGGCGGCGTCCGGGAGCCCCCGGAGGAGGATGGGCTGCGGACGTAGCAAACTGAGCTGCTGCACAGCCCGCAAAAAGGTAAAGGGCGCGGGCGGAGAAGTTTGCCTTCCGAGGGGCGGGGGGTGCGCAACCGCTCCGCCGCGGGGGACTCTGCGCCCCGGCTCCCTCGGGTCCGCGGGGCACGCCGGAGAACGGGGAGAGGCCGTGCGGAGACCGGGGAGGCTCTGCCGGGAGGAGCCAGCTCTCCGACCCGGCCCGGGCTGAGCTGCCCCGAGCTGCGGAGTTTACAAACACGGCCCCCGGGCCCCGGGAACTGCAGCAGACTCCCGCTGACTCGGGTGCTGTGGGGGGGGGGGATGTCTAGTGTCTGTGGCAGGTGTCCTCTCCCTTCGATCTGGGGCTGCTCACTGTGTGGCTATGGACCAGAGGMTGGACCTCTCTGAGCCTTCGGATTTCCCACCCGTTTAGAGAGTCAGATGATCTCTAGGTCCACTGCCCGGAGTGGTCCACGGACTTGCAGCATCGGCATCACCCTGGACCTGTTAGAAATGCAGGATCTCAGGGCTTTGCCCAGAGGTGCTTCAACTAACCAGTCGGTTAATGAGGCGCCCAGGGGGTGGTTACTACCCACTTTAGAGGCTGAGAAACGCTGGTCTAGGGCCTCTCGCAGGCCCTGGAGCTGTTGCATGTGGGCTGCCCTTGGGGTAGGTGGGAGGGGCCAAAGAGGGAGGGGATCTACCGCTTTTTGCAGCCCTGTCCTCCCTTCCTGTCCCTCCCCCAAGGGGCCTGGAGCTGGGTTAGGGCTCAGGGGACTCTACTCAGGTTTCTTGCAGTGGGACCAGCTGCCCCTTGGGGTCTAACAAGCCCGGAAGGTCAGAGCCTGGAGCCAGAAGGACAATGTCCTCAGTGGACGACAGGAGGCACTGAGAAAGAAAGGAGGATYCCCAAGTTCTGGCCCCTTTCCCTCCTGCTAACTGTCCCAATCCCCCCAGCCCCGTGGGAATAGACCGTCCCTAAGCTTTACCATCAGAGACCCTGAGAAGCCCCAAACTGTGGCAATATTTAATGATTTTGCAACGAACTTTAGCCCTCTCTCTTCTGCTCTGCTTGTGCCTAGCTTTCCTGCCTGTCAGGTGCTCAGGACTGTCCCCAAGCTACATGATTCTCTTCCCTGCTCTGCACCTACTCCAGGGAGACAAGTTCTGGTGCCAAATATAATGCCTTCTGGTTTTTCTTGCTTCACGTCTATTCTCAGATCAAAAACATCACCAATCTCTGACCCAAAAACCCTTGCATTCTTCCTGATTCAAGACTAAGGGAAGGGGCTTGATTGAGGTCACAGAGCAACATAAAGCAAAACCCAGACATCCACCTGGCCCTGTGTTTTTGTTCCTTTTTTTTTTTTTTTTTTTGTACTGGGGTGAACCCAGGGGCGCTTTACCACTGAATTACATCTCCAGCCCTTTTTATTTCTTTATTTTGAGGCAGGGTCTCATGAAGTTTCCAAGACTGGCCTCAAACTTGGAATCCTCCTGCCTCAGCCTCCRGAGTCACTGGGATTACAAGGGTGTGCCACTGCATCCAGCTAGTCCAATGTCTGTTCCTTCTTTCTGATAATGGGGATTGAACCCAGAGGCACTTTTCACTAAGCCACGTCCCCAGTTCTTTTTAAATTATTTTTAAAAATTTTGATACAGGGTCTTGCTAAGTTGCTGAGGCTGGCCTTGAATTTGGGATCCTCCTGCCTCAGTCTTCAGAGTCACTGGAATCACAGACCTACACTGATGTGCCTGGCTTAGCTCGGTGTTTATTTTCACACTTTTCTGCACTTCCAGTGACTTCTTGATGGCTACAAAGTTCTTTGTCAAAAAAGACCCTCAGAAGGGTGTGCTGTGGCTTCCCTGCCTCAGCAGCCCCAGGTCCCTGTCCCTGTGCAGTTTGCTGAGTTCTGTGGCCTGTGGTGCCTGATGCCAGGACTTATGGACTGGTTTTATTTAAAGTTCATGGCTGTTTCTATCTGTAGCTTGTGCTCTTGCCTAATTTCTCACCCATGTGTCAACCCCTGGCTGAGCTCCCAAGTCCATCCCCAGCAGGCTATCAGCCCATTGCAGGGAGGGGGACTTCAAGGATGAGATGCTCAAAACTGAACTCAGACTACAGAAGGGTCAGGTCACAATAATAATGACTCACCCTGAGTGGTACCTCTCATATCCTGCCCAGGCTCCCAAAAGCCCTGGMAGCTGGGCCGAGATGTGGGATGAACCTTTCCCACTTTACTATTGAGGAAACTGAGACTCGGTGAGGAGCGGGGTATCCAAATTCAGAAAGCCATCTGGGAGCGAAACTGAACAGTTGAGCCCAGGCTGGCCTCAAACTTGCCATCCTCCTGCCTCAGCCTCACAAGTCACTGGGATTACAGGCGCACACCACCTTTGAGGGCTTAAACCTTTYTTCTTGGCAAGAGACCATTGCTTACATGGTCACTTCCCTTCGGAGAACTAGGGAAAATGGCAGGCAGGGGGTAGAGGCCAGTGAAGCAAACCTCTGTGGATTTACTTGGGGGGTGATATGGGGTGGGAGGAGTTTCCCTCCCAAGAGGTTACAGGCCTCCTTTGAGCAGCAAGACGTGTGGATGTGGGCTGGGAGGCAGCTAGTGGCCAACCCCCAGTGTGTGCCACTAAGGTATCCCAGGCAGGTTGGCATTCTCCACTCCCCAGGGCCCTGACTACCTCACCACAGCCCCAAGCAGGGCCTCTGAGGCTCTCCCCACTGCTACCAAAACCAGCCTCAGGCAACAGGTACGCGGTGGGTCAGTCCTGCAGAGAACATTCCTGATCCCTTCCATGTAACAGGCCAAGTGAGAAGGAAAGAGAAAAGAAATGACCCTGAAGAGACTGGCAACTGGCATAGGCATCAGTAATTCTGAAATGGACCTACAGACCCTAAGGGCACAGGCTTAAATTCTGAGTTCATATTATTATTATTATTATTATTATTATTTAATTTGGCAAATCTTTGTGTGACAACCACACCAGATTCTGGATGAGGTGCTAGTTCAGTCCTAGCTTCAGCTGATCTTGATCTTGGCAATGACTTGGCTCCTTCATGACTCTGTGTCTTCATCCGTAAGAAAGGCATGATGTTTGCTCCTGGGTTTCAGCAAGAGTCTGTGAAAGAATGCATGGACAGTCCCCTGGTGGCCAGACTTGGCAGGTGGTGTACACTTGAAAGGTAGTGAGGCACAGACTTAAAGTTAGACTTTAACGGAATCACTGCCTGGATTGTATCCAAGGAAAGCAAACAGGGATGTGGGAGACCTTATTCTTGGACAGGCACAGGAGATGCAGCCTAGAGTCAGGCCATCTGTTGTCAAGGTGCATGGGAAGCAGCCTATTCTCTGTTGTTCTAGAAGGCTAGTTGGGGATGGGGGTGCTACTTCTTGTGAGGAAGAAGTGGCCAAAAAAAAGACCTCAAAAGATAGTGAGTTCCCCATCATTGGAGGGGTTCAAGCAGAGGTCACATGACATTTTGGAAAATATAGTAAAAGGGATGCAAGCCTAGGACTCGTAAATACTAAGATTCTTCTTCAGAAATATAATTATTCTGATTATTGTGCTTAAAGGCAAAATTTTTAAAATTCAAAAAATTATCAAACTTACACATTACCAGGCTTGGTGGTGCCACAGCAGTTTATACCTGTAACCTTGCCTAATCCAGAGGCTGAGGCAGGAGGATTGCAATTTCAAAGTTAGCCCGAGCAACATAGTGGGACCCTGTCTCAAAAAGAAAATAAAGGGCTGGGGTTGTAGCTCAGTGGTAGAACACTCACCTAGCACAAATGAAGCACTGGGTTCGATCCTCAGCACCATGTAAAAATAAAATAAAAAAGATATTGTGTCCACCTATAAATTAAAAATATATGTTAAAAAGAAAAGAAAAAGGGCTGGGGCTRTAGTTCAGTGGTAGAGCGCTTGCCTAGCACATTTTCTTAGCCCTGGGGTTCAATCTTCAGCATTGAAGAAAAAAAAAAAACTTTTTTTTAGTTGCTTCTAACCTTACCACAAGGAGATAGCCACTGTGTACATTTCAGTGTCATTCTTTCTACTGTCTTTCCTAAGTATATTATATGCATGAGTGTGAATATTTTATAAAAGTGGGAATGTGTGGTTATCTTCTAGTTACTTAGTATTCTCTGGCAGCATTTCCCATGTTAAACAGTCCATGGAAATGATGTTTTTTTAAGTGGCTACCTGCGGTGCTCAGGCTGTTCCCCAGCTTCGTTAGCCCATTTGGTTGTTTATACTCTCCACTCCTACCTCTGAGCATCCTTGTGTTTTCTTCCTAACCTGGGACTAGAGTGACTCTGGGGTCAGGGAAAATCACCATACTGATGGCATCTTGGCTGGGTTTTGGAGGTGGGTGGGGGTGAGACCGTCAAGGTGGGACAAGGATATGTGGGAGGGTATCCTAGGCAGAAAGAATATAGGAGCAGGCCCTTGACGCCCCATCAGTAGGGATGGGCGAATCTGAACTTTTAGCTGGGTTTGCCAAGCRGGGGACAGTCAGGGACTATGGGAGGAGGCTGCCTGTTCAGTCATGCAGAGGCAGTGAGCCCTATGCCCCAACTATCATGAACACATTGGCATGTGCATGACCTCTGAGCTAGTAGTTTTTGCCCAACCCAGAAAAATGCCCACAGTGAGGCTAGGGCTGGGGCTCAGTGGCAGAGCGCTTGCCCAGCATGTGCGAGGCACTGGGTTTGATTCTCAGCACCACATATAAATAAATGAATAAAATAAAGGTCCATCAGCATCTAAAAAAAATTTTTTTAAATGCCCCCAAATCATGCCAGCTAAAACCAATAAAGGCTTCCTTACACATGGTACTCTGAAAGACAGGAGGTTTCAGCCATATGTCTGTGTAATAAGGGGACACTTTATAAATGCATTAGGAAAATTCCTAACTCTGATCATCTTTGAGACACAACCATTGGTGACATACATTTTGCACACTTATTTTCTCAATGCTGAAGATTGGACCATGGTAGAAAAATACCTTGCCACTGAACTATACCCTCA